ACCTCTGCAGAGTGCTGGGATTAAAGGTGAGTGCTACAGTGTCCAGCATGAGCTTCCTATTTTTTTTAAATTATGAAACTATGATCTACTTCATAGCTTAAGCTTTTCATAGTTTTATAGTTTTTCTATAAGGTCTTATTATATTTATCCATTGTGTTTTTCCTCTTCCTCTTCCTCTTTTCTTTGTTGGGCTTTTACTATGTTTCTTGCCTTACCTACTTTCGTTTCTAGGCTCATTTATGGCTGCTTCCATCAGATCTCTCTTATTAGAACCTAATTGCCTTTTTATTTTAAATAATTAAGCTTATTTTTATTGTTATACATTTTTTCAAGGAACAATTTTTTGTCATTTTTATTAAATTCTTTTTCTTTTTTTAAAATTAATTACAATTTATTCACTTTGTATCCTAGCTGTAGCCTCCTCCCTCATCCTCTCCCAATCCCTTCCTCCCTCCCCCCTCATCTCCTCCCTTGCCCCTCCCCCAGTTCACTGATAGGGGCAGTCCTCCTCCCCTTCCCTCTAAACCTAGCCTATCAAGTCTCATCCTGACTAGCTGCATTGTCTTCCTCTGTGGTCTGGTAAGGCTGCTCTCCCATCAGGGGAAGGTGATCAAACAGCCAGCCACTGCGTTCATGTCAGAGACAACCCCTGTTCCCCTTACTAGGGAACCCACTTGGAGACTGAGCTGCCATGGACTACATCTGTGCAGGTGTGTGTGTGTTAAGTATACTTTTTAGGACCGAAGAGATGGCTCAGTAGTTAAAATCATTTACTGCTCTTACAGAGAACTGGAGTGCAATTCCCAGCATCTATATCAGGCAGCTCATGAGTGCCTGTAACTCCAGTTCTAGGAGATCCAAGCCCTCTCCTGGCCTTTGCAGACACCTGCACAATATGATAAACATAAAGGAACAAACACACACACAGATGCACACACACATTTTTTGAAAATAAAACTCACAGCTTTAAAAATGACCAAAAACTGACTTATTCATTATATGATGCACAGAAAATACAGACAAGAAAACCCAGAATAAATACCAAATATTGCTTAGGATAGGGAAGACTGTTTTGGCATTTTGTATGTAGATATTGAGAATTACTGTTCAGTTTGGTCGTGCGTACATAATCGTTTGAGTAAGAAGAAAGTGAGCCAGGGGCAAAATCCAGGGAAACACAAACATTTGTGTACTGTGTAGAAGATAACTTAAGAGAAAGAAATTATCAGTCATGAAGGAGATTGAGAAAGTACAGAGCTGAAAGTCTAGGATCAAAGGGAAAGTGAGTGAAAAGCTGATGAGAGACATATTGAATTTGATATTAACTGAAGCTGGCTCTTTCAAATGTCTCTATTACATATGTACATATAAATAAAATAAATCTCAAAAAATACAAAGGGTCTGGAAAGACAGCCAAGCACGTAAAGGCATTTTTTTTCAGCACTTACAGAAAAGAGCCTACTTTAGTTCCTAGCACCCATGTCAACCAACTCACAAACCTCCTCTAACTCCAGGGAATCACACTTGTGGTGGTGTTCTTTCTCTCTCTCAAAACTAGAAGGAGCCAATTTCACAGAACTTTAAGAATATCATTTTTGTGATACTTAAATATGGGATGGCCACCCTATATTTAAATGAAAATGTTGAATAATTCAAGAGTTGCATATGATCTTTAAAAGTCAAGGTTGGAACTAGACATCCTGAGAGTAATCAGGATGTTTACTGATGGCAGTGACAGCCATGAACCTGACAAGGAGGGAGCATAAACCAAGAAGATGCCAAGAGGAGGTCTGGGGGTGGTCGGAGGCTTGGAAGACAAGATGCCAGCCAGCACCATGAAGGCAAGGAATGAAGGTTAAAAACACTTTAAAAAAAATAACTTCAATTAGTTCATGTCAGAAACAATACCTGTTCTTACTACTATGGAACCCACTTGGACACTGAACTGCCATGGGCTACATCTGTGCAGGGGTTCCAGGTCATCTCCATGAGTGGTCCTTGGTTGGAGTATCAGTCTCAGAAAAGACCCCTGTGCCCAGATTTTTTGGATCTGTTGCTCTCCTTGTGGAGCTCCTGTCCTCTCTAGGTCTTACTCTCCCCCTTCTTTCATAAGATTTTCTGCACTCTGCCCAAAGTTTGGCTCTAAGTCTTAGCACCTGCCTTAATACCCTGCAGGGTAGAGCCTTTCATAGGCCCTCTGTGGTAGGCTCCTGTTCTGTTCCCTGTTTTCTCCCTCTTCTGATGTCCATCCTCTTTGCCTTTCTGAATGGGGATTGAGCATCTTTTCCAGAGTCCTTCTTGATTAGCTTCTCTAGGTATACAGATTCTAGTATGTCTATTCTATATTATATATCTAATATCCACTTATGAATGAGTATATACCCTGTGTGTCTTTCTGCTTCTGGGATTCCTCACTCAGGATGATCTTTTCAATAAAATAAATTAAAAAAATCACTCCCAGTGCCTGATTCAATGCTTGACTCATAGAAAAGAAGAAGAAGAAGAAGAAGAAGAAGAAGAAGAAGAAGAAGAAGAAGAAGAAGA